GCCGTCGGACATAGTTCTTGTAATTACGATTACTACTAGTTACAATGCGGGAATTACAATCAGAGATCAATCCCTGATTATAATTTCTGGTGGATTATCACGGGGACAAAGATCGATTTTGCTCGAAGTGCAATTTGTTGTGCTTCAATTCTTCCCACCGCAAAGATTCGCGGATTTCTCTATTGCCTCCCACCTGCACACTCCTTCCGTAACCCTGCTCAAGTCTCACGATCATCCATTTGTGACGAACAAATAAACTCCGGATGAACATTTCTTTGCTCGTCTCCTTGGAGAGTCCGGATACAGAATGACAACATAAAAACAAGTGAGTGTGACGGAGTGCGAAGTCCACTCTGTTCGCGGGTGCGGTGGACTCGTTGCACTCTCTCTAGTTGTTATTAGAACATGGGTGACGGTGCATCGTTCATGGGGTCCCATGGGGTGGAATGAAACCTGAAGGGTCCCATCAAGCAAATTACTTTCCGCAGGGGTCCCATCAAGCAAATCTCTCTGTCGCTCTATGGACTTCCGAGAAAATTCACGAGTTTGGATTGGATGTTGTTATAAGCTGTAACCGGCACTTTCGATATAGACATAATATCCCTTGCAGGTTGGTATACTACAGTCATTATTACCTAGGGGAGGGAAGAGTTATCCTTCACTCTTATTGATGCAGTAGTAACTATAGGGTATTCAATCAATAACATAATAACCTATGGCGAAGGCTAATTAGCCCTAATTGAATGATAACTAACCCTTCACTTTTATTTTGTGTATTTGGATAGAGTCCATTATAGCTTCGTTGGTAAGCTTGCCTAAGTATTTTCCGTAAGTTCACTTTTCACAAATTGGATTGGAATTAAAAATGTATTATAGTTGTTGGTTTTTTTAAATACTTTAGATTTAACTATGTTAAATAAACTAAATGGCTGTGTTCCGGAAATACTACAACTCATTCGCAGACGATATCCACCAACTTCTCCTAATAATATACATACTAAGATACTTGGCTATCAACACGGTCGGCCGTAAACTAGGTCTTAACACGGCCAAAGTAAAATAAACGCTTCGGCGTGGATCTAATCTTCCGGGACCGAAAATACATTATTAGTGTCAATAATAAATCAATTTTTAAGTTTTAACCCAAAAAATATTTGGATTGTATTTGTTTTATATTGGTGAAATTTTTTTATTAATATAACCTTGATACACAAAAAAATCCAGTACGATTATAAAATGTATAAATTTCAAGTTGATTATTGAAATGTTGTCATGTTTTTCTTCATTATCAATTTCAATGATATTTTTCACAATTATAACTGATAAAAGAAAAGTTAATAATGTTTATCTTCAACAACAACGATAAAAATCACATATAGCTTCATAAAGAGAGTTAGGAACATCTTCAAATAAGTTTTAATGAAAAATTTTAAATTTTAAAACAAATTGAAAATTGAAAAATTGAAACAAAGTGAACTTCATTCGTGAATTTTAATTTCTGTGGCATATTTTTGAATGTTGACAAGGACTTATGAAGGTAAGAGTTCTGTAAGAGAATTTTTTAGTGGAAATACACATCATGATTCAATTCCTGATGAGCTACCAAATCCAAGAATCGCACTCTATCTATGTCAACCTGAACTAGAGTAAGTGAGATGTCGTTTATGTGAAAAGAAGTTAGATGGATTAATGAATAATATTTGATATGGATATATCAAATATCAGTCGCGAATCATTTCATATAAAGTTATTATGAACTTCTAATATATCATCTACAAGTATAATCTTTAGCTAGTGTAATACAAACGCTTTGGATACAAGATGCTAATATGTTTATAGATGCCATACATCAACTAAAAAATATCAAAAGGAAAAAAAACTTAGCTTTGCAATTTTTGATCTTCATTATCAAGAAAAGAAATAAAATGTATTATTTTTAGTCTACAATGTGTGTATCATCGACTAGAGGGTAAAACACAACCCGACATGATCAAAGTACTGAATTGAAAATCTATGATCAGCCATATTTTAAAGATTTCAAAAAAATATTAGTGAAATGTTAGTTGAAGATGATCGATCATAGACTTATTCTTCATGCTAATTAAAAATATATAATTTTTATTTTTAGAAAAAATGAAAGTCAAGTTTTTGATCAAAAAATTTCTAGCTCTTTTTAAATTTTTTTTGGAAAACTTACTGTATATGAAAGATCCATTGGATAAAAGTACTTACATATCGTTTTAAATATTCATTGAAAACGATATAAATATTTTTGAAAAAGTATATTTTTATAACTCTGTCGATTTAAAATTTAATCTTGAAGTAATTTAATATATATTCGTGTTTTTTTATTTTGATTTTATGGAAAACAATGTAATAATATTTGCTCGAATTTGAAATTAACTGTTACGGACTTAGAGTATCTTGCTAAATTTTAAAAGATTCATTTGAGATTCATTTAGACTGATTTGCATCTCATTGCAAATGTTTTTGCAATGAGAATGGTGGTATCATAGATTGTTACTTGCTAAAACATATTATTAGCTAGAAAAAACTTGGATTATTATTTCAAGATGTAGTTGACTAAATAATGTTCACTCGCAGTTATTGACAATAATTAAATGACTGTGTAAGAAAATAAATTCAAAAAATTTTAAAATATTTTTAATAATTATAGATATTAAAAAATTAATCCGATGTGTTTGAAAAATATTTTAGACATTTATTTTCAAAAAAGTAGTACTTTTATAAAATTTAGATCATATTTTTAAATGATCTGACTGACATAAAAAAATTCACAAGAAAATATCGAGGTACATTTGAACATAAAAGGTTATAATTTATTGAAATTTAGTTTGATATTAATATTTTTAAGATATATGGTTGATTATTAAAAGAAGTTATCAAACTTACAATATAACATGCTTTTATACTCTCTTTCAGATAACTTCACATTACGAAATATTGATTTAGGAAAATTTAAAGGTTTTTTTGTTTTATTCTATACACACTTGTAGTTTGTTTAAATTTTTTAGATTGTATGAGATAAAATTTATTTACCTTATAAAATTATAAAAAAAATTTACAAAATAAAAATAAATATCAAAATAAAAGGACTTTACTGTGTTACTGTCACAACAACGTCTTGCTTCATTTTTTAAGCATAGTTATAACAGCAATATGAATCTAATGTGTTAGCACTTAAATAACAATGCAATGTATGTTGTTCTTACTTGATGTTGCCACAAATATGACTCAATTTTGCCTCGTAATGGCTTGTACACAGAGTTTCATTCATTTTCAATTTTGAAACAAAATGATAATTTTTACAATGAATGCTTCAACGCAAATGTTACAACGTTTTTCAAAAAAACCACACCTATTTAGTTACTTACACACAAATCTACTCATCCTTGTCTTTTAAAATCTGTTAATGAATATTCCTTTACAATGACTTTAAATGCTGTCATTGTTGTTGTCCAAAACATAAAATAGAATAGAAAAAAAACTTTCACACTAGGGAAAGAACATTCACAACAAAAATCAACACACAAAATTACATGGTTCATTTCCAACAAGTCTATATCCAGTAAACAAATAGAATTTTATAATCCAAGTGAGAGTGTTATCTTTCTACTCATTTTGCCTCCGAGATCATCCACTACTACCACAATTATCAACATTTTTTTTTAGGATTGCACTCTTTATCACTTGGTACTTATAACGCTCTTTGTTACGTAGCCAATCCATTCAAGCGTACACAATGACGATAAATAAAAAAATGTAAATCATTCATTTTTCACCCAAACACTCCCACCTTTGAAATCTTACGAGCCAAGTCTTCATCCCGTTTGATCTTGATGATTTCCGCCACGAACCGTTCAGCCACTCGACCTTATGCATGCTGAGGTAAGCAGTTTTTTGTGGTGAAAACAAGTAAATCAAGTCCATGTCATCTTCCAACATTCGACGCTTCACAGTCTCGAATGAGGTTCACCTTAAACTCCTTCAATCGCTGGAAAGTGACAACTTCTTCATTGATACTCCAGCAAGACGAGCCGCCATTTTCCAACCGGCTCCAACGTGTTCTTTCTAATAATTCCGGCTGAGTGCCTCAGCTTCAGTGTAGTATTGCTATCCAATCGTGGGTTGAGGCTCTCCATCCAACAAAAGTTGATACTATTCCGCGAACTTTCTCGCAGAGATTTCAACATACTTAGTCTTATCTTCATGCTAGAAATTGAGCCCCAATTTTCTCTGCATTTGGTTAAGTTTTAGGCTTCCAATTTGGCTATGGAACGAAAGGCCGATAGATCCCCGGTGGAATTTACTGAACTACCAGTATCCACATCAACTCTAGCTCTCGGCTTTGAACTCTTCTACATTTGCACCAGTTAACTCATTGCTCTGAACTGATCCGCACTGCTGCTCCTGCAGTGGCAAAATGGGTCTGGCACCGCCATCGTTTTCCCACATGATTTTCCGCCGTTCTTATCCAACAATTTACACGATTCGCTCATTGATCTTGGACTGGGGAAGTATGGTTACACGGGACACTGGCTTCTGCAGTATACTCCTTCCCTCTGCCCGTCAAAGCTAGTTGATTAATTTTGGACCTCTTACTGCCAGGAAGGATGGTTTATTCAACCAAATCAATAGTCCTGTGGCTCGCTAGAGCAAACGTGGTGCCCAATCATACAAGCGCTAACTTACTCTCGTTATCTCCACAGTCGTGATGGTGGAAGCTCCCTTACTAGCCCCTTTCCGAACCGACCTTGTTGCCACCTTGTGGACCCGCCATTATATTGTAGGCGCTAACTGGAGCAAGGTTCGTCGCTTCGAATCTGCCAGTTCCATACTGTACATTTGTTATTAAAGCGTGTATCCCGTCATAAAAGCACAAACAACTGTCTTGCCGCCATCGATTTGTCAGATTGCAGAGATAAGTCCGGGTAACCAGGGCCATCTGGGGCCAGTCGAGGGCAGTCGCTTATAATGCATTACGAGTCTCAACTGGCTTCATCTTCTTCTTCGTACACTCTTCGCAATTTCATATCGATGGAGCAGCTGGAATTCACTCTTTGGTCGGCATTGGTAGGTTGGTTGGGACTGCTTGTGGTTTGGCACCTGCGGAAGGGAAGGACAGGTCCGCAGCTTCCTCCAGGGCCACGAGGATTACCAGTTTTAGGAAGCCTACATCTCGTCGGAGAATTGCCTCATCGAGACTTCACCAAGTTAGCAGACAAGTATGGCCCCATTGTCCACCTTAAACTCGGATTTGTGCATACGATTGTTGTCTCTAGTCCAGAATTTGCTGAGGAGGTCCTGAGAAGACAGGACGAGAATTTCTCCACTCGATTCACGTCGCCGAAGATTGAAGAGCTGACATTCGACGGCTTCCACGAAGTTGTTTACGCAGAGGCTGGACCATACCATAAGTACTTGAAGAGGATTCTCAAAGAAGAAATGGTTTCTCTCCGTGCTCAGATGAGGTTCAAGGTAAGGTCTCACTAAGAGCCGTGATTGAATCTCAGAGGCTGAAGGTCACTCCAGCGAAGAACGACTTGAAATAAGAGCGGTTGTTCGGATGGGTAAATTATTCACGTTGGACTTCTGAACTGCAGGATTCTAGACGGGTTTCTCTCATGGAGACAATTCAGTCCCTGCACAAGAAATCAAAAGACGGGAAACCGGTGGTGATTGTGGAAGACCTGATGGAGTGCTTACAAATGACGATCTGTCGACTTATGTTCCACAATATCACAAACCTCGTAAGAGAATTCATTCCAGTTAGTAGGGAACTTATGTTTCTGGCCAGTGCTGCTGACCCTGGAGATTTTATGCCATGGTTAGGAAGGCTTGATCTATTCGGTTACAACAAGAGGGCTCGACGAATTATCGAGCGTTTGGACAGGTGTATGCAGAGTGTCATCGATGAGCACCGTGATCGTATAAAGAGCACCGGAGTGAACCAAATGGCCGACATCGTCGATATATGCTTGAGTCTTCAAGACCAGGATGGGAAAGGACCTCTGCCTGATGGACCCATCAAAGGAATCATGGCCGTGAGTTCACCATCTCAAATTATTGCTCAATTTCATCTTGACTCTCGCGTCGCATTTCGGTCTTTGCAAGCCACGGCAGAATTTAAAAGTTTTTTGCGTCGCAGGACATGATGATCGGCGGATCGGAGACATCGGCAATATCAAGCGAATGGGCTCTAATGGAGCTGCTTCGGAATCCACACATTCTTCAGAAGGTGAAAGATGAGATAGCGTCCGTGGTGGGAACCGAGAGGTTCGTCGAGGAATCGGACTTGCCGAAGCTGACATATTTGCAGCAGATGTTGATGGAAAGTTCACGACTCCATGTTATAGCACCCGTCTTGATTCCTCGAGAATGCGTACGAGATACCACCATTGGAGGTTACCACATACCTGCGAAGTCTCGCATTTTCGTTAACGTTTTCAAAATTCATAAGGATCCCTCAGTCTGGGAGAATCCACTGGAGTTCAATCCGGACAGATTCTCGCAGTCGAATCTTCACAACAAGAGGTACGATTTCCTACCTTTCGGATCAGGTCGAAGGGGCTGTCCCGGAATGGATTTGGGAAATCTGTTCGTGATGTCTCTCATGGCTCAGCTGCTCCACTGCTTCGACGTGGAGCTGCCCGAAGGCCAGAGAATTGAGGACATCGATACAACGGAAGTCTTCGGTCTTTCTTGTCCGATGAAAGTCCCCTTGCGTGTTGTCCTCAAACCTCGTCTGCCTTCTCACCTCTACGACGGAATACAGGTACATTGTGAAGATTAATATAGAAAGCTACCTTGGTGCATAGAAATCTAGTCTTGCGTTTTCCAATCATGATCTGACTTTTCTGGAGTCGTTCCAGTCATCAGAAGCTTTTTGCGCCAGCTCCGACTTTCTGTACTCAGTCATGGGACTTGATCTGTCGGTACTTTAAAATTATATACTTTACTGGGGTTAGCCCCGCCTCCGTCGTTTTGTCTTCATTGTACAGGGTGGATGGGGTCTTCACCATCCACTTCTCATTAATTATAATGGCCAAATTTTTTGCTATCCAGTTGGATCTTTGGAAGGCATGAAGGACGATTGAAACCCGTACTGGACTCACCTGTAATCGTACAGAAATCTTCTGACTGAGAAAGATTTTGTGTTTCTCATAGAAACTGCAAAGCACACAAGGTTCACCCGCAGGAAGTATCCTGGTCCACAAACACTGTCCAGGACTGAACAAGATTAGAATTGTATAGCGAATTGGTCCGCTGGATATTGTTTGCAATATACACGAAGGCTTATGGTATCATAAGCCTTCGTGCTGAATGCTTGATTTGTCACTATATGCAGTGACGTAAATTTTGGTGACTACCCGCATGCCTGTCTCTCCCCATTGGGTTACTACCTGATGTTAAATTAGGCGACATTTCCTCTCTTCCAATTCTCCTATGTCACCTGCGACTGGCTCTTTCAAGCAGATAGGAGCTTCCGTGCTGGAGACTATCAATCTGAGCAGTACCTGCATGGTATACATCGCTTCATATCCTCAAAGCTGGGCGACGCAAGGGGGATCAGTGCCTATCACAGAGCACCGGAAATAGTTATAAATCGCAACATGCCCGTGACACGATTTCATTTAATGATAATTCGCAGGCTGTGAGGATATACATACTCGCCCAATGGAATGTTTGCAGACCCAGCTTTTCTGCAAGGTGATCTATCACGTCGATTGGGTCAAAGAGAACTTGAACATATTGCCAGCGTAGTCGCATCTGAGAAGTTCTGCTTAAATTACAGCAGATTAAGGACATGGATGACTGATGCTAGACGTATCAGAAGATTACACATCATTCTGAATCATTCTGTATCTGATGAACTGCCTCACTCGAACACTGTAAGTGTTCGAGCATATTCCCAGTTGACCGCGTCGCATCTATTCTTCTCAGATCATAATAGAGCATTTGCGCACTGTTCTACGCCTTCTCATACATACCTACGGAGACAGAAGACATTCTTGATCTGCTGTAGAAGAGACAACGCAGCTGATCTGGACAGTGTTCTCTACCTTGTCTTGCCACTTTATCTAACCTGGATTTACCAGGCGGATCTTCACACGCAATCTCTTTTCTCATTAACTCCTCTGAGTGGATTCTTAGCTCTTTCAGTATCATTTGAATTATAACGATGAAAAGGAAGATTTTCTACTTGTGTCGTTGGTGATTATGTCTCGTGCACATTTTATGTAAAATCTCTTATTTTTTGTTTATTTATGACTGATGTTCATTTTGGAATTCAGCGACCTAGGTGACACGGTGTTCTGGAATTCCAGATCCGAGTTTTGGGTAGCACGTTCACATTCGTAGATATTCGTGTATGACAACTCTGGACCTGCTGTCTCCCGCGCAGCTCAGCGCAGGAGTACCCATTGACTAACAGATTACGAATTTTTTATTTTTAATTGTAGATCGAAATAAGCTTAATCAAAAATGAATATGATGATATGAGGATATACATTTTTCTCCATATGAGATGTTTACAGACCCAGCTTTCCATGATCATTTCAAGATTCAGGTGGCGAGTATGAAGAACACAGATTACTTCAAGTTACGCACAACGTAGTCAGCTCAAAACTCTTGCTAAAATAAACTTCCTCACTATTCACAGTATAGTTGCAGCTTTTTGATGAACAGAAGAATACGTTGATTTCAATAAATTCAAGTTACATGCCACAATAAAAAAATACGTCAGGATCCAGATGGTCTCCTGATTGAGCAGGTTCTAGGACATTCTTCGGACAGCAAGTATCTGCTTTGCCGAAACGTGACTTGTGAACTCAAGTCAATAACAGCAATTTTTTTGTTCTTTGTATTGTGCTCGCTTCGCTCATCACTTCAAGCACATGCTGTCCTGGAGACTGTATCTGCTGCTGAGGTATGTGGGTAAACATGGCCGATTCGTTAATGAAGTGCCTTCTCCAGACTTGAGAATTGAGTGTTCAAGTTTTTAGGATATTCCGTGAACATGGGGGAGTTCGAACCACGCAACAAGCATCTTCTTGGAGATACCAACCTTCGAAGAACTCACCCTCAAGGACTAAGTGTAACCTTGCGTCGCGTCTGTAGCATAGGAATCACAATCAGGCGAAGCCTGCTACAAATCGGTCTACTCGAGCCACAGCTTTAGAAGATTAGGAGCCGCTCTTATCTCATCGTGCCGCAGTGTTTGGATCCAGAGACTCGGCTGAGAGTCTCTGAGTCCACGAACCTCAGTTCTTTTGGAAAGACTGCATTCACTGATAATCCAAGTGGATTATTGGAAGGGATGATCGAAGACAGTGTAGTCATGTGGTAGTAGCAACCAGCGAGCCGATCTACATCCTCGTTTAGCCTTCCTGGGATTCTTCGCTACTGGCCTGTGAGTTCCCCTCGTCTTTTTCCCTACTTTTTGCCTTCGATTTTTCTCTGGGCTTTTTGGTTACTAGCCTGTGATTTTTCCCGACTATGAGACTGGTTTTTGTCGAACATTTTTTGCATGATCCGGCGAGTCGTTGCCCCTTCTTCATCTTCACCAACTTGGGTTTACGCATGGCAGTTTTCTTCCTGCAAGAGAGACAGTAGGCCTTTGTACAGGACTTCGCCATGTTCTTCTGCAACAAATAGTATATTCCCAGATTTCAGTTCCGTAGATGTGAGACATATTCCTCATCCTATTCGGAAGAAAGTCAACTCAAATTTTTATAATTCAAGGGTGGTCGGAGTAGCTGTCATGGAGCTTGAAGGGCTTGAATTGTTCATGACATAGTTGCAATATTGCTAATGTTTACTTCCTGAAGCTAAGACAGATATTCAGAAAAATTAAATCCTTGTCGACCAAAGCACAAAAAAAGTGGAGTGTTAATCGATTAGATGCACAACGCTCCACCTTAAAAAGTGCTCGCCAAATGTAAATGCTGTGACGATCTTTCGATAAGATTTATGGGATTTGATGCAACCTCAACAATTCAAAACTTTCTTAGCTTCGGAAGATTTTGTAGATTCGGTGGTCGTATGATAGCGCCTTCGCGGAGGAATTTCTCAAAACGTTTCTCGTAGAACGTCAATACTTCCGCGATCTTCCAACAATAACATCGCGATCCTTCAGAGCTCAGCCTATCACGACGAATCGCAACCGAGTCGCTTCAAAACGGCCCAATCAGTCCACCAGCATGCTCAGCGTTGGCGTATCAGGCCAAAATTTTCTTCTATTCACTGTCTGAGCCACAAGGAGATCTCCTTTTGGCTCAAATATGGTTCAATTTAGGGTTCACGGTATAGGTTGGTCATAGGTAAACTCACTGTTCGCAGTTTGGAAATTCCTTTATTGGCCTTTTCCTTTATTGGCCGTGGGCGAAAGTAAGACTACCTCTCGTTCCTTTTAGATGCATCTGTCAGAAGTCATTGACCCAGACAGAGACTTCGCGTATCGCTGGCGACGACACAAGAAAAGTTAAAAAGTTCCGAAATCTTTTCCCTTTTAATCTTTTGAACTTTCTATGATTGTAGGGAGAGTTGAAAAGCGCAATTGAAGATTGCTTTCTGTTGCTTTTTCTTAAACCTAGTACCCGGTTTTCCATACTTTGCTGAAGGTTTGTGGCTCTCAACTACCCTAGCTACGTACTGAGTCGTATTTGATGAATCCCTATTAATACGCTACAGGAAGCAATCGACTGTGACCACGGAACTTGATTTGAAACCTGCCACACAGTTTGTCCGTGTAAATTTCGGCCACATTGACCTTTCAATAAAACACTCTCAAGTGTTGTGATTATTTTGACAGACTGCAACGTGTCGATGTTGTTGTTGTCGCTGTGCAGTGTGTGGTTTTATGCATTTCAAAGGACGTCTGACGCGCTCCGTAAATTTTACAAATCTTTCACCACCGCCACCAGCTCAGTCAGCGATGCACGGAAACTTTTAAGAATGGAATCACGTGGACAGATATTCGAATTTTTTTATGTAAGGTTCTTCTTGCTGAAAAGATTTTACAAGGAAAGCAGTCTACTACACTTTCTTGAGCCTAAGATTTGGAACACGTGTCAACCGGGTGGTAGAGACGAAGTTGCATTTTGGATACTGGAACTCCGAAGGCGTATTCCAAAGTTAGGGGTCTACAGTGTAGAATTCGGAATTCTACCATGTAGACCTGGGAAATAATTCATAAATTCATAAGGTCTGGTAATTTCCAAAACTAAAGAAATTAAATTAAAATGTGGATTTTACTAATCTTACTTTTGGGATTTGTCGATAAATAGAGTCCATATGCACGCTACTACTCGACATAATTGATTTTCTCAAGTGCGAGCCTCGGAAATGTATGAGATATTGATTTATGTAAGAAGACGAATAATACGTATAGTAATCTTACTTGTGGCAAATAAAACGTGGTATAATACTACTTGTGACAAAGTCAAAGTTGGGATCACGAAGTTATTAATTTATGGATTCCCCAAATTTTAATTTTGGAATTTTCTTCACAAATACCAGAATTTATGAGGCCTAGTCTACACTGATGCTCCCAATCTGCTTTCTATAGTCACGTGTGTTGGAGCTCCTCACCGTCTGTCTGCTAATGTGATTAATCTCATCTGGACATTATAAATCAGAAAGTACAGTAACCTAAGGCCTGTCACCGCACACTATTCACACCTACAAAACATTATGCTTCAATGCTAGCTAGCAGTCGACAACCACGGGTCTATATTTATTGGGAATTTATAGGAATTTAGAGACATCTAGCCGCTCGTTGAATTTAGATTTAATGAGGTTACAAGGTCAATGTTGCATTCAAATTTTCACATATTTGACGATCCAATAGCAAATTTCTCATTTGACATGAATAGGGAATATGTGTCTTCATTAGGAGCACAGTATCTCGAAGTGAATTTTGATCAGTTCATTTATACACGAAACGAACTGATCGATTCATTCAGACATGAAACGGCATGTCTATTTTCAAACGCTGGGGTATTGTCATTGAAAAAGTTGAGTGCAGCACGTTTGTTGAATCCGTTTTATTCGCTGCAGCCGATGTGTATTTCTCACTTGAAGCAGCTCGATTATGCTCAACAACTCAACTTCCAATTCGACAATTCCATGGTTCTTGTTGCAATCCTCTTCTTGTTGTCAGAACGCAGTGCGAACAGATGGTTTGGTCTCGAGCTGAAATCGGTTGTCCACTACGTACCGGGTATGAATTATTCCAAACTTCCTCCATTTGAAAGCGGGAAGACGAAGACTTGCTCCGAAATCCCTCAGCGCACAAACGTGACACTGAATTCATTCATCCATAAGAACTCGTGCACGTGCTTTTCATGGGTCCAGCTACCGAGGGTCAATCAATCCCGGGGCATGAGGATAGTATCAGCGTTGGCCAGCTGGATAACGCCGCGCCCTCCTAAAGCGTTGCTGACATGCCTTTCGCCGATATTAGTGGATTCTGGGACCATATTAGGCCCCGATACGATGAGGGGCTGCGCAGGGATGGTCGACATCTCAGGCGGCGCAATGAACTGATCCGGAGGCGATATCTTTCTCCTCTTCCTCGTTTGCCTCAGATAGCTCTTCGATCCAGTTGACATCTTCTGATCCATTGAACTGTAAGGTTGGACAATTCTAGACGAAACACGTCAACTTCGATCACGTTTTGCAAATCATCGGTGCCCACGCCTCAGCCTTCAAGGTCAGACGGTCGAAAAGTTTGTGTATGGCCGAGTCGAGTTTATCCGACTATGCTCCTGAAATATTCTGCTGGATCTGTCTTTCTACTGTCAGACGGGAAGGAATTTTTTCTGCTCTCTTTTTGCCTTCGACGGTTATGCCTGATTTCTGCCTACATTGCTCACTGATGTACCCCTAGTCACGTATTCACCTAATTGTACGTCTCCGTTTCGCAAATTCTGGTTTGATAACGCTGATTCACATTTTGAAACTTTTGCCAACGATGAGGCTGGTTTTGGTCCGACATTTTGCGCAGTGTCCAGCCAGTCGCTTGCGTCCTCTTCTCATCTTGCATAGCTTGGGCTTTATCATGGTTGTTTTCTTACGACACCGCAAGCAATAGGCGACGGTGTTACGCTTTGACTCTTTATGCTTTGCCGCTTTACGCTTTGCCATTCGTCAGTTTGCATAAGAGGTAAGCCTTTACTTTACCTAATGCTGTCTCTCTGAGTACTGACGGCGTTTGACCGGAGTCTCCTCCTGCGTCCTGCTTGCGTCTACCTGCTTGCACAAGACCTCAGCCATATTAACGGCGGACCGAGTATTTCCCGACACTTCCCAGAAATTCCTCATTCTTCTTTAATTGGGACACTCTGAATGGCTACCCCGCCTGCCGCTTCCAAGATCGTGACGAGCTCATGGAACATTGGTCCAATGAAGGTTTAAAAAAATGATTGAGGCTCTATCATTCATGCATTTTACGCCTTCAATTTCAACATCTTACAAGCAGGCGAATAGAAGGAAGTATAAGCAGGCAAAGACCGATACTGAGTCAACTTCATTGTCAGCTGAAGCAAAGGAAGGTCATAGGTTGTACATGTCAGATATATATGAGCTTGCATCAATCAGGAGGAACGCGTTCCAATTCTACGAACGAAGACCAAACTTGCACAGCAAATTGAGATCAACAACAATCTGCCCGTGCTCAGCGAGGAGAGCAGCGCTGCAGGATGACGTAAAACAGCATGAAGACTTTTAGGTCGCGGGAACTCACATGAATGTTGACCATGTATGTTCGATGACAAATCCAGAGTAGGATGAATGTCGACGTCACCAGGTCCACCGAGGTCCTGAGAATCTAGCGGAATGGATCCAAAGGAATGTTGACTATTGTACGCTGGGTCCCCACTTCGACAAGCCGCTGCTGGAACGTCGCAGGCTCAGAACATAAGCGTCGATTGACTCACATTCCTGACGATCCGAACAGCCAGAAAGTTGTTGGGTTTAACAGATAACCTGTATATGTTATATCCTTGGAGGCTCTCCTCCAAGGTTCTAACACATACCGAACCTGCTGCAATGCACGTGTTTGACTCCATCGTTTATCATCCTGTGAAAGCTTCAGAGCCGACATGCGAATATAGGCTCGGACGGATATAGGTTACATACGGATGGATTTTTTCGACCACGATTTCATCACGAGTGGAGAGTCTATTCATGCAATTTTTTACCAACAAAAGAGTGGCTTCAGCAAAAGTGAAGGCATGACATATCCAATAAACCGTCAACGTCTCAAAGCAGTACTCGTCTTTGTTCATCTGTTGCTACAACTCGTGCTCTAGACTCTCTATTCAGGTGTGTCTATGAAGTCTAGTTTCGATCTTCAATCATTTTATGTATCCCTCACCGGCTCCCGTTCGTAGTACGTGAAAGTTTACTGTCTTTATTTCTACTCATAGCGCGTAAATTTATCAAGCTATATGGTAATTATGGATCCAAGAGGCCACCAGTAGCCTCGAAACTTCTGTCGGTCTTGGTAACAAATTTTTTGGGTTCCATTTACTGTATGTATTCTCTTTGAGAATCGATTTGTTGATGAGATAAATCAAAAAATGATAAAAAAAAAACATCTCGGTAATCCTCATCTCACTAACATGTGTATCTCCGTGACATGGACATTAACTAGATCAAAATTGAAAAAAATAAAAAATGTGCATCATGACCCATGCACGTTCAGATGTGAACATCAAATCTGACAGTACACTTAATGTCATTATTTCGTGTACACAATAATTGGGAAGAAATGATGAGCAACTTGAAAACATGTGATGCATTGTAAAAAGTTCACTTAGTAAACTCTCGGGGGATCTAAATCTCTTTACGTACAACTTTAAAGTCAACTACATCATTTCCATTAGCAAAAAAATTACGAAAAAACTGCAGCTAAATGCATTCACTTGTCGTGCTACAAGATAAAAAGAAAGTGATCTAGTTTTAATAAGCAAGGGTTATTTTAACCACTAGATTGAAAAGTAAAATGAATAATTGAATTGGAGAATAATAATCTTACATAAACTTGTTGATATCTAAAAACATTGGAGAGCATAAATTGCACCTAGACCTGAGTTCCGATTCTAATTGCTGTGAAAACATGTACAGTACTATCGCATGTACATGTTCATTACTGAACATGTACATATCGCATAGGTACATGAAACTCTGTATTTCTCGTTCCCGTTGTTATACAGTTAGCAATACCAAGAAGTTTGTTAGTGTGTGAGAATATACTAATTTTAAAATGACTTAAGGAAACAAAAATTTCGTTATACTTTGTGACTAAGTGTATAACATTTTGAATACTAGATTGTTCCCAAAATTTTTGATAAGGATTCAAAGTCATCGTTACAATGAGTATGAGAATGAAGCTTAATGTAATTCAAACTTCCACATATATCTCAGAATAACGTAATTTCGACAAGAAATTTGATCTCTTATTTTGTGTGACAAACACATAATTTTTTTAATCTTACATGGTAGATTTTACATGATAGTTGAAGTTGTGCATAGAAAAACATATTGAAGTATAGTATCTAGCAATTTTGAAAATTTTTGTTGTTGTATAAACATATACAGATAGTGTTAGAGCCACTATTTTTCTAATGGAGGCTTCCCGTCAGGTATTTCTATAATGTTTCAAGCCAAAAAAAATTGGTATTTAAATGGCTAATTGTGTTATTGGACTATATTAAACCAATATTCTAAGAGACTTAGAGAAGTAAATCCAAAATATATAAAAACAGAATTTTGTGTATTAATTCAACTAAAAGCGCTTGAAATTTCTCAATGATAAGGTTTGTGATAATTTCTTGTGCTCATTTTTTTTAACAAACAAACTGAAAGTGTCAACAAGGTATTTATAGCTCATTTTGTTCTTCAACTACGTTTTTACAATTTTCAATACTAGGAACGTGCTTTATGTTGATATGGTGCTAAGAGGCAAAGTTTAGACTAGATTGATTAGTCGGAATACAAGATGATATGTAATAAACTTCTTGAGTTTAAATAGCTTGATTGCTAAAGCGGAGAGAAAGATCCAACCCGAGACAAAGCTTTGTTTGTCAGCTCTATACAGAATTGAAGAATCTGCTGTTTTAGCATCACCATGTCATATTGTTCAAAGTCTTGTGGATTTATCTGCCCCAACTCAACTAGCTCTTATACATTTCCATGAACAAGAGGAAGGTATGGGCATAGATAGTCTAGTACTTTCAGCAATACAAATTAACATTCAAGAAAATCATCATCAAACTCATTTAGTTGTGAATCGATGATGTTGAAAAAGATCTCCACACAATAATAGGGATCAAAAGTTATGGTGTCAGAATTGCGACGAGGGTCTCATGTAAGCATGTAACTTAATTTCATACCAAGGTCAATGATATTTTATGCGAAATAAAACGATTGAAGCACGTCATGCATTGTCTTCCATCCTTCTTCCAATTGCATTTCAATCAATTTATACTTTGAATTAGCAACAAGGTCCATAGCGTTGAGTATGTCATGGTACTTAAGCTGTAAAGTTTCTAAAAAAACATTTGACTTGCTTAAAGTTGTCTTCATGATGTGTAACATTAGAACAAAATCAAAGTCGCTTATTGTTTCCACAAGTCTTGACTCTTCCGCTACACTTGTATCTTTCACAATAATTTTGAAGTACACAATGAATCATAGAGATCAAGCACTCAAAAAATAGGATTTAAAATAAAATTTTTATTGTGTATCTCCTTGCCATAAGAGTGATTGCTACTGATTTGATCCGCGATCCATTGTAGATTTTTTGCAAATAATTCTCTCACAAATATTGGTTGCCTGCATTAATACAGTATCTTTTTGAGATTTAAAAAATGTATTCAAATTTTTAGGATTCTTCATAAACATGGGTGAGTTTGAACACCACGCAACAAGCATTTTCTTAACATACCAATCTTTGAAGAACTCACACTCAAAGATTATATGTAATTTGCGTCGCATCTTTGGCATAAAAATCAGAAAAAACATGCTACAAATCTGCTACAATTTTCCAAAATTGAATCGTCCATTTACAACAAACATACATTGTGACTTATAAAGATACCACATCTCAACAAAGAACCGGCAAATTTTTGTATGGTTCTTGACTGCTGAAGTCAAAGCAAGTTGGAGTAGGTGAGTAAAGCAATGCACACAGTATGCTGAAGTAACTTTATTTTGGATGATTTTTTTAGTCCATTGATGTCTCCATGAATATAAGATGCTTCATCATAGGTTCATCCTCGTACACGTAGTAGAGAAATGTCTTTTCAGCTCAAAGTGAAAACAACGGCAACGTTCAGCAAATTTGAAGTTGTTTTGTCAACATGTATTATATTTAATAACCTCTCTTGAATTATTCCAGAATTTTTGACAAACCATATAACCAAAAACATTAGCTACTTCGTCAATTTCACCTAAGCATCATCAATTAGCAAATAAAAAAAGTTGTCATCAATCTGCTTCAAATTATATCATTTTGGATGTCCGAAGATGTCATTGTCACATTTTTCAATGCACGATCAAGCCAAACACGCTCAAAATTGAAAGAATGCTGATTGAAAAGAGAAATAAGTTTGAGAAAATTATTGCAATTGAACGAGTCTCTAGACTCGTCATGACGGCAAAAAGCTAAATTTTGATGTATCAGAAGTCCCATTGTCTTGAAGGAAGTGATCAACCAAAGTTTGTGACCAGCTTTTTATTGTTTAGATTGACAATGTAATGTAGTTTCAATCAAAAAATAATGATTGGATATGATTTCCAAACAATTATGTGTATAGAGTGAGTTGAATTGTGTTTACAAACATGTTTTTCCAGTTTGCAATCTTTTTCAGTTATTTTGTTTTAGCTTGGAACAACTTGATTGACAAATTATTTGCAAGCTTGCGCATCTCGGGCAAATATAAAATAGAAAAATAATACACAATGTTATTTGCAGGGATGTAATCAAGACAATGATGTTAAGCAAATCATTGAAAGCAAAAACGTCAAAGTTTCCAGATACGAGACTTTAGATATGAAAGACTCCAAATTCTATCCCTTAAAGATACCGGATAGGACAAAATGATTGATGTCAAACCAAGATCTCTTTCCAACGTGGCCAT